ACCAAGTCAGGAAAGGGCAAAAGTGGGTTAGAAATGGCAAGAAATTGGTAAGCACTGGACAAAAAATGGTTTGGGAATGGCCAAAATGGCTTAAGAAGAGTTAGAACTGGGCAAAAAAGGGTTAGAAATGTCCCAAGCCGGTTTAGAAATAGCTAAGAAAAGCTTCAAACAGGCTAGAAATGGACATAAATTGTTCAGAAATAGCCAAAAAAGACTTCAATAGGGTGAGAAATGGGCAAAAATAAGAAAGAAGTGGCCATCAATTGTTTAGAAATAGCCAAAAAAGACCTGAAATGGGTTAGCAATGGGCAGAAATGGGTTAAAAATAGCCAAAAAAGGCTCCGAACTGGTAAGAAAAGGGCAAATATGAAATAGAAATGGCCACGAATTGTTTACAAATAGCCAAAAAAAAAAAACCCTTAAAATGGGTTAGAAATGGGCACAAAAGAGTTAGAAAGGGCCATAAATGGGTTAAACCAAGTTAGGAAAAGGCAGAAAATGGATCAGAAATAGCAAGAAATTGCTACAGAGCAAGCAGGTTGCTAGTAACACAAGCCTTTTTCACTCTCATCGCTACTGAGACTGCATTATGGCCCCTTACACATACACCTGTAGCCTTCCAGAAAAAGTAAAAAGTGAATTCTGCTTCCTTCTATGAGCACCACATGTAAAGAAGGAGATTTACCAAGGCAGAAACTGTAGCCAGACAGCGACTGAACCTCCTGAATATCTCTTAACAGATACCAAGTCGAAAGGGCACTTACTAAACGCTACCCACTTTTGCCTCAGCTGCAGGTACACTCGGAAGTCTCTCTGGAATCCAGGATCACAAAGAGCGAGGGCAGATCCAGGTATTCCTTCGAGATGGTTGTAACCATGCCACGTGCCTGTTAAGAAACAAACCAGATCAAATGAGTGTTTCTGAAGAGTGCAAAGACAAGGCTGGGGTTGTTTTAAACCTTGACAAGTGAAATGTTTTGCCCTTGGCACTTCAGGTAAGCGAAACCCAAACACGCATTACTGCCAGACTAGTCAGCGAAAGCTCTGTACCAGCATGAAGCATTTCTACCTTCATCAATGAAGCAGACAGCATGTAGTACACTTGTTTGTGGTACACACTGTGAACGCTGTAGTCATCCCTGTTATAATTAGTTAAGAGTCACCTCCTGCTCTGCTGCAAGCTCCACAGTTTGACAGCGTTTGGTAAGGACTGGCATTTCCACAGGAGCAACTGTATCTTGGTGGCATATCCTTACGCTGCTTCCATGACTGCCACAGCTGTGCAACCACATTTTAAGAGTACTGTGCATACATGGTTGAAGCAACACAACAAAGCTATAGGTCAACTAATGAAGACTACAGGAGACTTTGAGAGACCACCTTGTCCACTGCTCTGCGCTGAGCAGGATCAAGTACTCACAAGCATTTCCCAACCAGTTAGTGGTAATCTTTTTTAAAGACTTTCAGTGACAGAAGCCCACGCCTTCCTCCAGAAGTGTTATTTTGTACTAAAGGTGAGTTTTTCTAACATCTAGCCGTGATTTCCCTTGGTGAAATATATGCCCATCATTCCTGGTCTTCTTTCATAAAGGATTTTTTCCATCCGTGGCCCTTACTCTTTGCAGCTGCCTTTGTAAACTTGAAGGTTATTGTATGAGGTACATAGTATCCTTTTTCATTTCCCGGATGCAAAGCGCTACGTACCTCTGAGTTTCCTCCATCTTTCTGCTGCAAGCCCATGGCTGGATAAAAGGAACACTGGAAAAGACAAATAAATAAAAAATAAAAATCAGGCCTAGGAGCCATCTTTCAAAGTAACCGATGTTCAGCAGACTAAGGCTAGAACAGAAAACAAGCATAAATGTGTTCTAATTATATCAGCTCCTGAATTGTGTTTTGGGTTATCCACATGAATGGGAATTACACGCTTCTGCCTTTGCCAGAGGGAACAAAGCACCTTGAACCAGACACGGATATACCTAGCTGAACAAGAGGAAATGTATTACTGATACTGACCGTGTGACAATGCACAGATGAGCATGAAAAGAAGATTCCAAACAAAGTTTAGCAACTCTCGTAAACATCATCAAATGCAAGAATAAGGGTCAGCTGCACTTGTGTCACAGCACAGGAATCCTTTTGCACCTTCGAACACCCATGCCCTGTAACTAATTTCTAAATTATGGAGATCTTGTACATTTAAGTAGTTCTTAGAAAACGAGTCAGTTACTTACAGGGATGTCATCTGTATTTGTAATTCAAGCTCTCCAGCTGGAATTATTACTCTTGTCCTAGAAGAAAAGAAGCCGTATCTAAGACAAAAGAAAAGTGGCAGGACTTGGCTCCACTCCATGTTTTACCGGATAATAATTCCCACACAGGAAATTAATTGCTAGGCTGAATCAGGCAATAAGCGTGTTATGCTTATCCCTTGTCTCTGGCAGGTACCAACAACAGGTGCTGCAAATCCTCATGGAGTTACACAGCAGTGTTCCTACAGAGGATGTTTTTTTCCAAAACCAAGGCACTTAAGATTCATTAACATCTTGCAGCAGAAGGGCTCGGATCTTCATTATTTTACTTTATCCCAGGTGAATGTCTGTAGTGCAACTACAGGAGTGGAATCCTCCCCAGTCAAACCCAGTACCTCTATAATAATGTCCAGAAGTACTGAGTTTCACAGTCTCGCAAGTCATAAAGGAGAGCGGAGGGGAGGGGAGGGGAAAACTTCCATATACATTTTCACATTTTCTTCCTTTACCTTTGTTTCTGGAATATCACTGAAAGGTCCAAAGTACCCCTTTAAATAATTCCTTGCTTTACATACTTTCATTTCTCGTTACGATCTAGTTGATGAAGTCCTAAGATTTCTACAGTTTTTCTAAGATGTGTTACATCTTAAAACCAAACCTATGTAAAAAGATACCCTCCGCATCTTCTGGGTAATTTCCTTGAATGTTTAACTAAGCATCAAGATCTCAGAAAATTCTGTGTCTTCTAGCCAAGCACAGATCAACTTAAACAAAATCACTCCTCATTTGACTTATTTGCTCTAAAATCTTTAGGAAACAGAATTTAATAAGGTCTATGGATAGGCAACCCCAGTGCTTAACTGCTGGAAAGCTTGTCTCAGTGTTAGGCCTAAATTTCCCCTCACTGCAATTTAAATCTGTTGTGATTTGTCCTGTTTGTATGCAAACGATTCCTTAAAAAAAAGACTGCCTTACACATGCTTACCTTCAGTCCTTTGGCCACCGAGTGGTTTAAAATGACCTCTAGAAGTTGGGAGTAGTCCACAGCAATTTCTGCCCACGCAGCCGCAGTGTACACAAGCGCAGTGTCGGCAGCAATGCAACGGAGGCAGAGTTAAATATGCACCACAACCTGACCTCCGGCCAAATACAGCTCTGGACCACATCAGTTTTCCTAGATCCACACCCTCTGGACGCTGTGTTTGCAAGGGCCAAACCCAGGATCTTCAGTGTTATTCAGTGGAAAGTGAGGCTCAATCATTAAACCTGAGCAGTGAAAGAGATACAAAATTGATGTTGAGCCTGCCCTCCCTAGCGACCAAGTACATCCTCCCTGCCTGCGTTGTTTTCAACATATACTGTGTATTTAAGGAAAACAGCAGAATTGTTGGGCAAAATAACCTCAGTTTAAGGCAAAAATAGTTCATTCAGGACGATATCAAAAAGGCTCATATCTATTTTAAGCTTTCCTTCTCTCTGACTCCTCCTTTTTTTCTTAAATGAATGAATCCCAATGTCAAAGAGATTAGGATTAGGAAAAGCCAGCATCTCCTTTCAAGAAACAACATGATCCTTAGAGGATATAAAAAGGAAGTACTTGGGCTTTCTCAGAAAGTTTTGTTCAGAAAGAAAAAGGAGTGACAAAATAGGCACTAAAGCCCTGGAAGATCGTTTGTCACCAAACATATTCACCTCCGAAAAGAAAACCTGACAGAGACACTCCTTAATGCTGGGGAGCGGGCACCAGAGAGGCCGTGCGCAGACGGAGCTTTAGGCGGCCAAGCGAGGGCAGGAGCTCTGTGTGTGCAGGTGATGCCTGCGAGAGAAACGCTGTTGGGTTTGCAGAACCGGAAAAACCGCCCCGAGGAACGCTCACCGGAGGATGGAAACCGGGCGGGGAGCAGCGGTTTCGGAGCCCGTTGCCTCTGCGGCACCGAAAAGGTGAGCGTGTGCTGCTCCCAGGTGTCCCGACGTCGGTTACTGCGGGTGGTGCAGACGGCGGGGGAGAGCGGCTCCGGGCGCCGCTCGCTGCTGCCATGTTGTATCGAACTCCCGGTACCTACAGGAGGGGGGGCCGCGCTGCGGCCCTGCCGAAAACGCAGCACCGAAGCGGCCGGTGATGGGCCGGGTGCGGCGGCGATATGGGGAAAGCGGCTGGGGGCCGCATTCCGATGCTACCGTGTGTCCAAAACGCGGGACTGCACGGGGGAAAGCAGAAACAGACGAACGCCGCCGGAAGACGGTCGGTGCCGCGATCACGGGGCCGATATCCGGAACCGACCGGACTGCAGAAAAGAGACTGCACTGGTGAAGCTAAACCAATCAGAGAGGCGGAAAAGCGGTGCCCGGGGTGATTGATAGGAGCCTCAGCCAATGGCGGCAGAGAGGGGGGCGGAATGAGAAGAGACCGGGAAAGGGGCGGTGCTGGGGGTGATGGACGGGAGCTTCAGCCAATGGGGGCGGAGGGCGGTGTGGGCAGAAGAGACCGAAAGAGGGACGGTGCTCGGGGTGATTGACGGGCGCCTCAGCCAAGGGGGGCGGAGCTGGGCGCGGTCAGAAGAAACCGGGAGAGGGGCGCTGCTCGCAGTAAATTGACGGGCGTGTTATAAATTGAGACCACAACGGATCATAATCCAATTAAAATTAAAATTTTTATTAATTATAGCAAGTAGAATATGAGCAAAAACAGCGCTGGACGACACGGGAGTCTGCGCTCCGCCAACTGCCGTGCTGAGCAGTTCAAATAGCCCCTTTTTATACATCTTTACTTCCGTGTTCATGAAGTAGTGGAGGTACTCCGCGCATGCTTCAGTTGTTGTTAGGGGGTCGTTTTCTGCCTCCTGGTGGTCGTTGAGGCCGAAGTAAGAAGTCTTCCTCTTTTGTCCCATAGTTGACCCCTCATTCATATGTCCTTATATGGGGTTGTCTGTCCTGTTTCTGTCGGTTCCTGGACATCTGGCGGTTATCTTATCTTGCACAAGCAGTGTCTGGTGACTGTTTGCATAAGCGATTTCATATCTTTTGTTGCCTAACCTTTACACTGGTGCTTAACATAAATCTTAATAAACAATATCCTAGTCCATAGTTTCTTACAATCCCCCCTTTTTCTTTTTATCCTATTATTGTTTATTAGACGCTGCTTTCATTCTCGGCACTGCAAACAAACCTTTTTCCACAATCCCAACATTTATCATAACACCTTTTTCCACAATCCCAACATTTATCATAACACTCACAAGGTAATACCTCACAATTACAATAGGCATAGTGTAAAATACAGCGTAATATACAAGGCCCAAATATAAGTCCCAAAATCAACATAATAAGCGGTCCCGCTAAAGCAGACAACAAAGTGGTTAGCCAAGGTGAAACATTAAACCAGTTTTCACACCATGACCTGCCCGCCTCACGATCTTTCTTACGTTGATCTAACCTTTTCCGGAGTTCAGACATGGTGTCCTGGACTACTCCCGTATGGTCAGCAAAAGAGCAACATTCTTCATTGAGAGCTACACATAACCCTCCTTCTTTTAAGAACAATAGATCTAATCCTCTTCTATTTTGCAGTACTACTTCTGATAAAGACTTTACTGAAGTGGCTAAATTTTGGATAGATTGTTCTATTTTTGCTAAATCCTCATCTACAGCCATCTGCAAACTTTGTAATTCCTGACCTTTTACTAGGGAGGCTATGCCTGTACCTGCTCCAACTCCGCCCGCTATCAGCAGTGTAGCTAAGGTTACCACTGTAATTGGCTCTCGTTTTTGTCTATTCAGGTCTCCTTCAAAGTGGTGTAACACCTCCTCAGAGGTGTGATAGATCAGACGAGGAACAATAATCACCTGTACGCAAAACTGAGATTGATCAAACACGTTTAGGGATAGGCAAGGCGTTACTCCGATGTCTGAACAAACCCATTTAGCTCCTGGTGTCGGGATAGCCCATTTGTCATTTCTATTCTTGTGTCTCTCTATAGTCTCTATAGTGACTGTTCGGTTGCATAAAGGCTGATATTTTTTGGGCACTGTACCTATACATTTTCCTTGACCTGTTACTAATTGAATAGTAATTCCTTGCGTATGGTTCCTCTGGTCATCCCATGGGCATTCTCGTGGGTTTGAACCATTAGACCATTGAATCCTACCTGGTTTTCCAATTACCTCAAAATATGGTGGTCTAACATTATAACATAACCAGCATTCCTCAGTTAAATTTGGTTTGCTTTCATTAAGGGCACGATAAGAGGCTTGCATTAGATTCCATAAGGGGTCTTTGGATTCTGACAACTCTAGATCCCTGGATAAGGAGAATTCAGTCACAAAGTCATTAGTTGTTTCCGAAAGGGAGTCTGGAGAAGCGGTTACGACAATTACGGGGGCAGCCTTTTCTTCAGAGAAAGTGGGTGGATTCATGACCAGGTTTGGTCCTATTGGCAAAGGATCATGAGGAAGTCTTTCTTTCACTATTTTAAACATACTCCCCCTATCTGGCCCTGTGTCCCAAAACCTAATTCCCCAAATTTTTCCACCTAACCATAAGTCTTCTGTAGGATTCTTTACTTCGATACTAATGTTTTTGCAGTATCCTGGTGAATTACAATGTCCATAAACATGTCCATCCTTCCCAATGTTCGGCCGCATACACCCTTCAGGCTCCCATTCAAATTTTAGATATCTGTCTCCAGGACTTGCCCAATCAGAAGCCCAGGTTTCACAACCCCAATAGCCACAAAAATATTGACCTGGTTGATTACAATAGCTTTTACCAGGGTTTGATGCAGGACATACATAATATGCTCTACATGTATCTGCCCTATCCTTATGTCCTCCAACAATCATTGCAGTTAATGGTACAATAAATTTTACTGTCTTTGGAGTTGTAATATTTTGAATGGCATGTGTTTCCTGTAAGTTATATATTTTCCATACCATAGGTTCATGAGGGTTTCCATTTGCTTGGGTTATTATCAATAACAAAACTAACGGTATACCAGGAAAAAGGGTGTCTATCAATTTTGCCAATTTAAGTATATTTTTACCAGTCCTGGGGAAGTTCGGCCATTGCTGCTTTTGCGTCCCGTTGTTCTGGTTCTTTTCTCCACATTTTGTTCCTCCTCTGCCTCGCAGGTCGGCTCGGTTGCTTCGAGCCACGGGGTGTACCATCTTCTCGGCAGCAAGGGAATTCTTCAGGAGAACAGCTGTTTTGGACTTTCTGCCTGTTTACATAGGCTTCCCACTTTGCAGCTTTAACTAATGGGGCAAAGCAAGACACGGTTAGTACTTCCCTTCTACACTTTATAACCAAAATTTCAGCTACAAAGGGGACTGGTTCGTTGGAGTGGTAACAATAATATTGAGGGTTTATTCCTTTGGCAAAAATCTCCCACCACTCATGGGATTCCCGAATAATTTCTTGTTTAGACTCTAATTGTTTTAATTTCCACTCAGTGAGAGTTCTTTGGATTTTCCAACACTGTGTGCAATCGCCTATTGGAGGGTATCCATATTCACAGTGTGTCCACCATTTATCCTGACATACCTTACACCTAAAACAAGCAAATGGATAACAACTGCAGTTCAAATTATTACACCTAATTTGTATATCTAGAGTACATATATTATTTACATCAGCATATCTTCTATATTCACTATTGTGTGATTGCATAAGTTTAGCTATTTCCTTCAACACACTTTGTACGCTTCCATATATAATAGAAAAAAGAGAAATAATTATAGCAAATATAAACAGCAATACACACTTTATACCAAAAGATAATGCGGCAAAATAATCAAATAAAGTCTCTATCATTACGTTATCTTTTCAGGGTTTTCTTGGTGTCACCTGGAGTACTGATTATTTTCCAGTGGGGTCTCGTCACTGGGCCTTTAATGTGACTGGCATGAGTCCATCCACGCTCAGCAGTTCGGACAGCTGTTTCTGTTGTAATCAAAACAAGATAAGGTCCCTCCCAATTGGGTTTTAGGGTTTCTTTTTTTTGCCCCAATTACTTGTACTTTTTCAGGGGAAACTTTACATCCCTCAGGTATTTGCTTAATAGTTGATTTCTCCGCCCCAGTGTCTACTAAAAAGGTGAACTCTTGTTTATGGGGACCTATTTTTAATTTTATCAAGGCCTCATGATGACTCCGGTCCGCTAAGATATAGAGCCCCTGACTCTCCTATTCCGTTTTCAATATTTCCTCATCCCTGATCCTTTCTCTGCAATTCTTCTTTATATGTCCCTTCTTTCCACAGTAAAAACATCTCTGTTCCTTCTCTACTACTACGTTCCCTTGTTTTGTTCCAGCAGATCTGTGTTCACCAGTTCGCCCTTTGCGATCCTCTCTGACCGCTGCTACCATCATTTTTACTTGTCGCTTGCTGCTCTCTTCTTCCCACCTTACGTAGACTTTCTGAGCTTCCCTCAGTAATTCATCCAATCCTCTATTCTGCCAGTCTTCTAACTTTTCAATCTTCCTTCTGATATCTTCCCATGATTTTGCCACAAACTGAGTTTTGAGGAGCGCTTGCCCTAAAGGGTCATCTGGATTTACCCCAGAGTACAGCTGAAGTGCTTTCCTCAGTCGTTCCAGCTACTCAGTAGGGTTTTCATCTTTCTTTTGCATTTCATTAAATGCTTTATTGATATTCTGGCCACGGGGTACTGCTTCTCTAATTCCCTGAATTACTATAGTTCTCAGGTCCTGCATATGAGTTCTATGCAGCGGATCCTGATTATCCCAATTAGGTCTTTGAAGTGGCCATTTAATATCTGCTTGGGGTCCCTGGACATGTTGAGCATCCCACAGTCTCATTCCTGCTCGTCTAATCATATCTCTTTCCCCAGTAGTAAATAATTGACCAAGGATAGATTGCATCTCATCCCAAGTATAAAGGTTTGGTCCCAAAAATTGATCTAATCTTTCTGCCACTCCGAGTGGGTCCTCAATTAAGTTTCCCATCTCGGTTCTTTTAAAATCTCGTAGGTCAGCCGAATTTAAGGGTACGGAAATATATCCGATCACAGGTTGAGGTCCCCCCATGGGTATTTCCCTTAGGGGGTACATCTGAGCTGCCCCTTTTTGACTTCTAGTTACGCGTCTAGGAGGAGGGGGAGACTCTTGTTCCGACTCTGGTGGGGGAGTGGATGCTCTGGGGACCTCTGGAGGGGCTGTGGGAGCAGGAGGAGGAATGTAAGGAGGGGGGGATAAAAGGGTTTCGTCTAACTCTTCCTTCTTTTTCTTTTGTTTAGTTTTTATTTCATTCAGCGGGTAAAGTCTAGCTCCCGGTCTTTCTAGCCACACTTCCGCATATTGACTCTCCTCCGGGTTAAGGAGTTTTTTATTATTAACCCAGAGGTTTAACTGCTGTCTTACCCAATCTTCTTCTGACCCATAGACTGGCCAAAAGACATTTTTAGAAATCTTCTTCCCTCCCCATATCTTAGTACAATATTCTATCATTTTCTGCTTATCTTTCCCTAGGGTTCCAGGGAAATATCTTCAATTGCCTAAGATATATGCCAGAGGGGTATTCTTAGGTACAGTGGGTACCCTTCCCATGGGAGTCGAAGGCTTGCTGCCCTTCGCCCCCATCTTCTGGAAGGGAGACGCAGTACTTGAGTCCAAACTCGCTTGGTTCAGTATATCGAACCTCTCACTCGTTATATTCCAGGAAACACAATCCCGCCCGAACGGCAAACCCGCGAACTAATTCGCAATATACTTACGCGTCCTGCGTCTTCGTCCGGACTCCCGTGCCCAGAATTTTATGGGATTTTACTGGTTTCTCCTTTGCTCATTATTCTAGAATTTAGGTTCGTCGGTAAGGTTGGGGTAAGCTGTTGGTCGCGGGGCCGCGAAATGTCGCGGGGCGCCTCCCCGGAGCATCAAAGCCCACCGTTCCTTATCCGAGTCACGGCACCAGAGGCGCCTCAGCCAATGGGGGCGGAGCGGGGCGCGGTCAGGGGGCGCCTCAGCCAATGGGGGCGGAGCGGGGCGCGGTCAGGGGAGACCGGGAGAGGGGCGGTGCTCGCAGTAAATTGACGGGCGCCTCAGCCAATGGGGGCGGAGCGGGGCGCGGTCAGGGGAGACCGGGAGAGGGGCGGTGCTCGGGGTGATTGACGGGAGCCTCAGCCAACGGGGGCCGCGGGTTGCATGCAAGCTTTTTCCGGTGCCAGTGCCGCTCCGCCTCCTGCAGTACCGGCTTTCGGCAAGAGGATGGCAGCAGCTAACGTTGCACTGAGCCACTCGTTTGCCCCGCCCCATCT